CTTCCCTCCTGCCCGGCGCCGCCTGGCCGAGGCTGGGGGCGAGGGCAGGATGGAGGAGCACAGGGTGAAGGGCTCCTTCTCACCGCCCCTTTGCCTCGGCAGCTTGGTGCCCTCCCCGCCGAGTGCCCACGATGGAGAAGTACCACGTCCTGGAAATGATCGGAGAAGGCTCCTTTGGGCGAGTGTACAAGGGGCGCCGGAAATACAGTGCCCAGGTGAGGAAAAATGAGAGAGCTGAGAGGCCTTCGCGCGGGGCTGGTTGTTGATTTCTGGGGGGCTGTTCGTCCGGGGCCCTGCCAGGCTTTCGTGCTCAGACTGAACAGTTTTTCAGTTTATCATGATGGAACCTCCCCTGCTTCAATTTATGACCACTGTGTCTCATCCTTCCCCCATGTGTCTTTGTAAAGAGCCTGGCTCTTTATGTCTTTCTGTCAAAAGCTGTCTGCAGTGGTGCTGATGTGGTCTAACAACTGTAAGGGGCAACAATCCCTTCCCTTGATCTGCTGCCTACCTTCCTGTTAATGCTGCTCAAGATGCTGTTTGCCTTCCTTGCTGCCAGTGTTTAGCTCACTGTCTCCTGGTGTTTCTAGGTTCTGTCCCATGCCTGGGCTGTTTCTGGAAGGGCCACGTGTGCAAGCTTTGCATTCACTGCTTACAATTCTGTGTCTAGCTGTGTGGGCAGCAGCACTGATGTGCAAGGGCTTGCGGAGGAGCCCTGGCTTCAAGGTGCCCAGTGAACAAATGTCTTGTTCAGGGGTTGCTCCCTTTGCTAAACTGGAAAATATAAAATCCCATTTGGGTTAAATGCTGCCTTCACCAGGGTGAGTAGGACCGTGGTCTGATCCCAGCTTTGTTCACTTTGGAAGGTGGTGGCTCTGAAGTTCATCCCCAAGGTGGGGCGGTCTGAGAAGGAGCTGAAGAACCTGCAGCGAGAAATTGAGATCATGAGAGGCCTCCATCACCCCAACATCATCCAGATGCTTGACAGCTTTGAGACTGACAAGGAGGTGAATGGGCCAACTAAGGTCACATGCTTTTGCTTCACGGGACAGGGGAGCAGGGGTGGCCCTCACTGTAGCAGGGAGCTCTTTCCCAGGGGATTCTGGTAACAGTCTCTCAGGGTTTCTGTCAGCTCTTCCAGCAAGTCAGGTTTGTTCTGATCCCGGCTGCTCACTTTGGCTCTCTTTCCTCACTCATGTTGAAAGCTGTAGTCCTGCCACCAGCCTACTCTGTTCCCTATGGTGGCCACTTTGGGATTCCTTGCTCCTAGGGCATTCCCTCCCTCCTTGGGGACATGCAGGGACTGCACTTGGAGATTGCCTGAGAGAGGTAGTGTCTCCCCCACTGGTTTCTTGTCTCACCCCGCTCTGGTCCCCAGAATGTGGTGGGGATGAGGCTGTGTGAGTGCCTGGTCCCTCCACGCTGCTTTTCCTTCCAGGTAGTGGTGGTGACCGACTATGCAGAGGGGGAACTCTTCCAGATCCTGGAAGATGATGGGAGTCTGCCCGAGGAGCAGGTGACTGTCACAGCCGTGGCCACTCAGAGGCCTCCTCACAGGGTGAAGAGCACAGGATGACCTGTCAGGCAGCAGATCCCTGCTGTGGGCCAGGGCCATCAAGAAGGTGAAGGTGCCTCTGAGGCTTTACCTGGCAGAACCTCTGGAGAGGATGAATAGGGAGCAAGGTTGCTCTGAGGGTGGTGATCTGGAAGGGACCTCAGCTTTCCAGTTTGCCCACAAATGACTGCTGTAGCTGTTTGCCCACTTCTGTGGGTCAGAGAGGATCCATGATGCCTGGGGTGGTCTCTGCCCCAAACAGGGCGAAGCAGGAAGGGGGCAGTGCTGGTGAGCCCAGCTGGGGGCTATGTGCGATGCAGCATGAGTCTCTTGCATCTCTGGCAGGTCCAGGCCATAGCTGCCCAGCTGGTCTCTGCTCTCTACTACCTGCATTCCCATCGTATCCTGCACCGGGACATGAAGCCCCAGAACATCCTGCTGGGAAAAGGTGGCATCATCAAGCTCTGCGATTTCGGGTGGGTGCTGTGGGCCAGCTGTGGGGGCACTTGGGTTTGGGGCAGCTGAGAGATGTGCTGGGTGTTGGAGAGGAAGAGGGAGGGTGGGAAGGGATCTGGCTTCTTTGCATCCTCACAAATTGGTAGGGATGGGTAGTGTTGGACTACAGAGCAGAGTGGAATGTGAGGTAGTGCATAGGGATTTTTCTGGGGGCTACAGTGGCGGCTTCTGCCTTAAATGGCCACTCATGTTCTGCTCTGAGCAGGTTTGCCCGTGCCATGAGCATCCACACCATGGTGTTGACCTCCATCAAGGGCACCCCCCTGTACATGTCCCCGGAGCTGGTGGAGGAGCGGCCATACGACCACACGGCTGACCTGTGGTCTGTGGGTTGCATCCTGTACGAGCTGTTTGTGGGCACCCCTCCCTTCTACACCAGCAGCATCTTTCAGCTTGTCAGCCTCATCGTCAAGGACCCGGTCAAATGGCCCAAGGACATAAGCCCAGTCTTCAAGGTAAGGGTGAAGGTCCTGACTGTGGTGGGAGATTCATTCATGGAAGAGCCTCTTTGGCTGCAATTGTAGGTCAGTCTTAGGTTTCCTCTCCCCTAAGAGGAATCTCAGAGCACAGTGAAGGGAAGAGAAGGTGCCCTCCTAGGAGAAGGATCCCAATCACTGGTGTCCCTCAATAAGTGGGGAAATAGACAAACATTAAATGAGTGATTTAGTGGACTCAGAAGAGAAGACAGTGTCTTCCTATGGTCCAGCTGCCCTAAGTACTAGGTCCACTTCTTTCCCAGAACCAGACAGAGAACCCAGGAGTCCTGGGTGTCCTCACTGAGGGATACTGGTAGGTGCTTTGTGTCCCTGGCGGATATAGAGCAGGCGTTGAGCCTGCGCTGGTGCCTCTGGCACTGTGCTGGGACTGTGCTGCCTTGCAGAGCTTCCTGCAGGGACTGCTGATGAAGGATCCCCGCCAGCGCCTGTCGTGGCCAGAACTGCTTTCCCACCCCTTCATTGCTGGACGTGTCACTGGTGAGTATCTGGCACCAGCTATTTTCCAGCAGTAGTCCGATCTGCTTCCTCCTCCTGCTGCCACAGGGGAGGCTGCCAGCACCACTCTGCTTCCTCCAAATGCCAGCTCCTCACCCCTGCCCCTGGGGTGGCCTTGAGTCCCTCAGGGTTTCTCTGAGGTCCCAGAGATGGTCACTCCCAGTGTCCCAAGAGAGAATTGCTGACAGAATCCTCTCCTTGCCTCCCCAGTGATTGATGACACAGAAGAGCATGGCATCTTGAACCCCTTCACTACCAAGCTGACCCCAGAGCTGCAGGCCCTGAAAGAGAAACAAGCCCATTCCCTGGCCCCCAGGAGCGGCCAGTCCAGGATCCTGAGAAAGGCCCGGCAAAAGATGGCTGAGGAGGCCCAGAAAAAGGTGGAGGGAAGCGTGGGGTTCCCCTGGCTGCACCCCATAGTCAGGGCCAAGGAGGGCATGGAAATGGGACCTACTGGGGAGGACAGAAGGTACACGGGTCAAGCTGTGGTATCAGCCACATACAGGGCAGGATGTGGGGTTCCCGGCAGGTGGGTGGAAGACTCAGCTCACTGCCTTGCCCTGACCAAATCTCTCTGTCAACACCCAGGGGCAGCTGAAGACTGATGCAGCATCTATGAAGCACCCTGACAAAGGACACCAAGGGCGTAAATGCAAAGCAGCTCCTGGGAAGACAGCTTTTGGGGAAGGAGACCCACCAGGTGCTGCCAAAGAGAAATCCACAGGCATCCTGCAAGGAGGGTGCAGCATAGCAGAGTGGGAGCTGGAGGAACCTTCTCCTAGCGCAAGGTGAGGGAGGGCCAGGGCTGCGAGGGGAGGCAGGAGGGAAGGCAGAGCACCTCTCTGACTGCCCTGTTTTTGTGACCAGGGAGCACAGCATCACTCGAGACTACGAGCAAGAGTTTCCTGAAACAGAGACCGTTCTAGACCCTGGCCCTGTCAGGGGAGAGCTCGGGGGCAGGCGCAGCATAGAGACTGTGGACTTGGAGAGTGAGGTGAGATGTGTCCTATGGTGAAGAAAGCAGGTCTCAGTCCCTGGCACCCAACACAGGGACCTTGGGGGAGGCAGGACCTATGACACCAGCCCTCTCTCCCCGTGGTTAGGAGCTGGAGAGCGATGAGGAGTGGCAGCACCTGATGGAGGCCACAGAGCCCTCAGCCCTGCAGCCGAGCGCGCCGCTGAGCCTCCTGAGGGACCCGGCCTTCCGGCAGCGTCTCCAGATCCGCCTTGCAGACTCCAGCCGGCAGGTGGGGGATGTTTTGCCCACCCAGCCAGCCAGCACTGGGGGCTCTGAGCCAGGCCCAAATGCCTTTTCCTCTCCCAGGTCGATGGGGGGAGCTGGGAGAGCCCCAAGTCCAGCGGAGCTGTCCCATGTCTGTCATGTCATGTCCCATGTCATGTCCATGCCTGGAGCTGTCTGTCTGTCCTGCAATTATCCCCTGTCTTAGTGGATGAAGGGCAGCCCCATGGCCAGCAGAGAGGCAGTTACATCCTCAGCCATAACCACTGCTACTTGTGAGCTCTTCTGGCTTCTCCATGCACAGGTACTGGAAGGGATGCTGGAGGGAGCCTCCCATCTCCGTCCCGCACTCCGTGTTGTGGGCAACCTCCTGGCTACCCAGTGTGACTTGGAGCTTCTGCACCACTTTTGCCAAGAGCTGGATATTCCTCTGTTCCTGCTGTGCTTAGCCAAGAAAATCCTGGAGAACAGTAACACCAAGCAGGTGGGTGTGGGAATGCAGGCAGCATGGGGCTCCCTCCAGCATGCAGCAGAATCCCAGTGCCAGGAGGGAGCTGGGGAGATGCCTCCTGGAGGGCCCTGTGTCCTGTTGCAGCTGACTGGTGGGACTGTCACCTCTTCTGAAGAGGGAGGTTCTGACTGGGAAAGACCCCACCTCGGTTGTATCATTAGTCAGTGGCAAATCCCCATGAGCTGCTTCTCTCTGGCTCTTGCAGCAGCCCTGGTGTATTGTGGTGCTGACAGACCTCATCGTGGTGACCACAGTTTATTTCAGCAGTGAGTGCAGCCTGGAGGGGAGCAGGCAGAAGGACAGGTAGGGAGGCTGCAGCAACCCAGTGTGCTTGGGGGTCTGCTGTGGGGACCCAGCTCAGGGCAGCAGGGAGTTGTTCCTACTCTGTGCCTGGAGCTGTCTCAGTGGGCAGCATCACGGACAAAGCACTTTGTGGGATATCACCACACTTGCAGAGGGTCATTTTTCGTGGGTGGGGAATCTGAGGCACCTGGCTGAGAAGGGAGAAGGCACAGCTGAGAACAGGGTCCAGATGTGCTGCTGCAAGCTGGGGCGACAGCGCAGTGCGCTGCCTGCTCCATTAGCAGGATGGGACTGGCCACGTCCCGTTCTTCCAACCAGGGGTTGTGATTCCATCTGTGTTCCTATCTGCCCCTGCCTCCCGCAGCCCACAGACCTTCCAAGAGTGTGCCAGCCACTTCCTAGCCCTGCTGCCGGAGCTGCTGGCCCAGCCAGCTGACAGTGAGATGAGACTCTGCCAGCAAAGCCTCCTGGTAAGGGTGTCCCTTCCCCCTCTCTTCCAGCTTTCTCCCCAATCACCCTTCTCCCTTCCCTCCCTCTGTCTGCAGTGACAGCAGCCCCTGTGTCTCCCACAGTGCTTCATCTTGCTCTGCGAGAGCCTGGACATGAAGTGCCCTTCCATCTCTGCCCCCTTTTATGCTAGCCTGAGAGAGAAGCATCAGCCTGTGTTGAACAGGCTCCTCCAGGGATTGGCCTCGGAGCAGCCTGCTCTGCAAGGTATTGTAGTAGCAGCCTGTCACCATCTCCATTCTTCCTCCAGCTCCTGGGCTCCCTAGGAGCACTGACTGCCATTGCAGCACCATTGCCAGGAAGAGGTGACTCCTATATGATCATCCCCCAGAGCTGCTCTGCCCTAGTTCCCCAAATCCCTGCTACCTGGAGCTCTCCTGTCCTCCCCTTCAATTCCAGAGCTCATCTTCCTCCTCTCCCAAGCCTGGCTTTTCCTTGCTTGCTCCCCAACCCTGTCCTGCAGCCCCTCAGTGACCCTCGTCCCTGGAACCTGTCTCCTGAGTTCTTGCCCTGCGCAGGTGCAGCGATGGAGCCCAGACCAGCCCATGAGCAGAGGCAGCACGTGATGGATCTCTTCACAGCTGCACTGGCTGCTGCCTGCAGCATCCCCCTGGGGAGGAACGGGTGTCGGGAAGCCAAGCAGCAGGTCAGGCCACCTCTTTTTGCAGGGCGGGGAGAGGTCATTGGTTCCTGCAGAACTAGTGACCTTTTGCAGGAAAATTTCAGCAGCAGAAAGCAGGGCTGGGATTCTTCAGGTTTGATGGCTGCAGTGCTGGGATCCCCTGGGTTTGCAGGCTGCTCCATCCCATGGAAGGAGCTGAGTTCCAGGAGAATCTAAGAACTCCTAGGTCTGTTTAAAAAACTCCCGCTTAGGATCTGAATCATAGGATGGAATAAATAATGAAAAAGGCAGTGCAGAGAAGAGGTGAATTCAGTGGTTCCAAATTGTAGGAAATCTGGAATTGAATGGACAATAAATAAGAAGGAAAACAAAGGAAAGCAAAAATACATTTGATCCTTCATTTCACCTCTGAATTAGCAAAGGAGAAATCTCACCTTGCTTGTCTCAACTCAGGGACTGTGTGGCAAAGCAATGCTGGGTCATGACATACGGGCACCCTCAAGTGAACACAAGCTCCCCAGAGGGAGCAGAGGCTCTCTCTGTTAACTTGTTGCTAGGATTACACTGCCTAGGTCTGGGCAGTGCTTCCGGCTGCTCAGGGTGAAAAGCAGACTGATTTCTTCAGGTTTCTCGGGACGTGGCTGAGAAGCTCATGAAGGGAGAGAGACAGCAACTTGGGAGGCTGCTGGGGAGACTTGAGCATCCAAACTGTTCTCTCAATGTGCTCAAGGTAACAGCCCCATCTGCCTCGCTGTCCATGCAGCTTGGCTGGCTGCCCCAAGAGGCACCCAGGGCTGCTGAGCATCTCTCCCCTGTGCCTCGCAGATCCTCTATGCTGGCTGCCATGCCAGCCCAAGCCTGTGCCAGCAGCTGGGAAGGAGCCAGCGAGTGTGTGATTCCCTCATGCAGCTCTCGAAGGGCAAGGTAGGATGTGCTGCATCCCTGGAGGTGAGGTGGGAGTGCGGGCGGGCAGCACACACCCTCTGAGAGCTGTCTGCAGGGATGGGACCCAGCGCTGGCTGGAGTGGTGGGCAGAGATACTCAAGCAGGGAATAAGAAATGGAGCACGGAGAAACCAGTGGCTCTGGGGTTTTGGGGGTGTGGGGTGGGCAGAGAGTATATTTGGTACAGGCAGTGGGACCAGGCCAGTGGGGGCTGAAGACGGTGGTGTGGAGGAGAGAGATGGGATCAAGAGGAAAGAATCCTGCCGGGGGAAAATACAGACCAGACCAGGGGACACGTGCAGGAAAGAGCTTGAGGGAGCCCAGCCTGGAGGATGCAGGTACCATCTGCTCTGCTAGGCTCAGGCACACACCTGCCTTCCCTCCCAGCCTTGCACTCCTCTGTGATTGCTGCTTTCTTGGCAGGTCCCTATGGCAGATGCAGCCCGAGGGGCAGCCTGCGAGGCCTCCCTGCACCTGCTGGCCCTGCTCAGCCTGCAGCTCCAGGGTTCCCTGCCTGGGTAAGCACCCTCATTGACCTGGGCCTGTGTTGCACCAGGTCAGGGACGTAGCAGAGGGGTTGAACCCTGCCCTGGACAAGCCTCTGTCCTACACCCTGCCCAAAACTAGCATCTGATTTCCACTCCTTCTGATCCTGATGCATGGGCAGGGTGCTGTTAGCGTGGCTGGGTGCAGGAAATGCTACAGGGACACAGAATGGATGAGGAGGTGCTGTGAGCCATATTTTGCTCTCACCCTGCATGGTGGCTGCTTCCCAGCACTGGCAAGTGGGAGTCTGAATGCTGTTGCTTTGTGGGATGTGAAGCCTTGGGAACAAATTGCTGGGAGCTCAGTTGTCTTCTGGTCCTTGTATTTCAGGCTTGAGGAGGTGGTTACTGTGGCCATGGATATTGTCACTCAGTCTCCTGTTGTTTCCTTTGTGGTGAGTCTGTCTACCCAGCCCAAGAGACTGCTTAGAGCCCTGCACATCCCCTCATCCCATCTGGGTCCTACTGTTCTGCCCAGAGCTGTGGGGATGCTGCCTGTCTGTCCAGCCCTGCGGCGGGGGTGCAATCTCGAGGGGGTGTAAGAGAAAGTCCAAAAGGTGCTGAGCTGTCTGTGCTCCCTCAGGGTGCTGCAGCATTCCTCCTGGCCCAGCTCAGCCAGCAAGGGGTGAGTATGGCCCTCAGGGGAGAGGAGATTCTACCAGCACTGAGGAACGCACTGACGGCCTCCACCAAGGTAGGGAACGGGAACGGAGGGCCGGGAGGCTGTGCTGTCACACCACTGCATAGCTGTGCACACAGTGGTGGGCTGAGAGAGGGGGGGTTTGGGTGGTGCTGCCCTTGGACCCCGCACCCAGCGCCAACCCGCCCCCTCTTACAGC